AGGAATGACTTATGCACTTTTGCCAATCTAAATAAAGGCTGACTCAATCTATTCCTATGTCTAGTATGATAATCATGTTTGTCAGATACCTTTACAAATAAGTGTAGGTTTTTCCTAACATACATAATGTTTTCATAAATAAATTGACTCGGTACGGTCAGAATGTTGATCTCTTTAAACTTTTCTCTGAGAGATTCGCGACGACCTAAGTTATATATAGCTCTGACGGCACGCTTTTGCAAGATAAAGATAGACTCAACGTCAGATGCCTGTCCCCACAACAGAATTCCATACGACATGATGCTGTGAAAGTAGCTAAAGTACACTAGTCTTGCCGTGCCGACATCGGTTAGCTGACGGATCTTCCAGACAGCATAAGCTGCAGAGCTCAATCGTCCTGCTAGAGACCTGATGTGGGGCCCCCATTGCAACTTCTCATCTACAGTGATCCCCAGGAAAGTAGTCTCTTTTACAAATTCTAGTTTCTGATCATTTAATAATATATCATCACATACGTTATTTTTAACATTTGGTAAAATAAATCTAATGCATTTAGTCTTTTTATCATTTAGTAATAAGTTGTTTATTGTAAACCAATTTTGAACCTTCATTAAGGCATTATTAACTTCGTCATATTTGTTTGTTCGTCTATTTATTTTAAAAATCAATGAAGTGTCATCAGCGAATAATACCATATGCGGTTCATTTTGGAACATATGGGGCAGGTCATTTACATAAACTAAAAATAGAAAAGGACCTAATATTGAGCCCTGCGGTACGCCCATAGATACGCTAGCACCCAGTGAGTTAACTTTGTTGACTTGTACTTTAATTTTTCTTTCTTGAAGGTATGATTTCAATAAATCTAGGGATACCCCCCGAATGCCGTAGTGTTCTAGCTTCAGTAACAGCGTCTCGTGCTCAACACAGTCGAATGCCTTTGAAAGGTCGCAAAATATTCCGATGGCATCCTGTGCTTTTTCCCACGAGTTGAGAACTTGTTTTATAAGTGATACTCCTGCGTCCGTAGTGCAACGTCCTTTGGTGAACCCGTATTGATGGTCATGGAAAATACAATTCGTGTTAAAGTGACGCAGCATTTGAGTAAGCATCAACCTTTCGAACACTTTACTGAGCACTGGCAAAATAGAGACCGGCCTATAGTTATTAGGTTCTGTACTATCACCTGATTTAAATAATGGAACTACTTTACTATGTTTCATTAAATCCGGGAAAACCCCTTGATCTACACTTTTATTAAAAATGAAAGTTAAGTGCGGCGCAATTGTCTCTATAAACGACCTGCACACTCGAACAGACATTCCCCAAAGATCTTCAGTTGACTTTACTTTGATCTCATTGAACGCCTTTATTACTGCCTGGGGGGTTGTGTATTGAAAGCTAAAGTCAGAAGGACATTCTTTGACGTTACCCCTGAGAAGCTCGACAGAAAGTGCTGGAGATGATTTTAACGTTTCCGTAGTTTTAAGAGGAATATTTTTAAAGAATCTTTCGAATTCCTGGGCAACTGACGAATTTGAACTAGTATATCCCTTTTCGGTTTTTAAATTAAATTCAGTGTTTTGTGATTTATTTCTACCTGTTTCTTTATTAATTATATTCCAGGTAGCTTTTATTTTGTTTTCCGCGGTCCTGATTTTATTACTAATGTGGAGCGACTTAGCATGCTTACATACTATTTTAAATATTTTTGAATATTTGGAAACATGTCTGCGAAAAGCCTCGCTACTATTAAATGGTTTCAGGCCGTATAGCTCAAATAACCTGTCTCTACTTATACGAATACCTGGTGTAGCCCAGTCACAGAATACAAATTTACACTGAACATTTTTACGTTTTAAAGGAAATAGTTTATCGAATTGTATTTTTATAAGGGATAATAAATTAGCATATATCTCACTCGGGCAATTATTGTCTTGTACTTGGCTGCATAATTCATGTTTTAGCTTATTATTTAATGAATAAATTTTTTTGTACGTAATTTGTCTAAACAATATTTCCTTTTTTGGCACAGTTGTTATAGTATTAAAGTTAACTGTGAGCCCACTGTGATCAGATGGTAATCTATTTACAATTTCACTTTGTAAATAATCACAGTTACAGAAAATATTATCTATACAAGTTGCCGAGGTGGATGTTACTCGGGTGGGCTCAAGGAAAACATTAGACAAATCAAATGATTGAAAGAGACTTAACAAGTTTGTACAATGAGAATTGTTTTCTAAGAGATCAACATTAAAATCGCCACATACTATTGTACATTTACTACTAGAACATGTTTTCCGCAGTACATCTTCCATTACAGAGCGAAAAATATTTAGATTCTGTATGTTAGGAGGCCTATAAACACATACTACAATATGCCTATCCAGCTCAACACAGGACAACTCTATTGTATGTTCAATTGACAGCAGGGCAATGTCTTGTCTTTCTTTATATTTTATTGAGTTCTTTACTAAAATCAGGCTACCACCATGTATCATTGCTTGGCGGCTATAATTGCTGCCAACACAATAGTTATTGAAGTTAATTGTTTCTACTTGATAATCTTTTAACCAATGTTCAGTTAAACAAATAATATCATATTGGAATTTCTCTAAAAACAATTCAATTTCTAAGAATTTTGATGATAAGCCCTGAATATTTTGACTGTACAATGACAACAAGTTATCTAATTTAGTTTTATGTTTTAATTCAAATTGATGCTTAATATTATTGCCAGAAGAAACCTTTTCAATGAATGTGGTTTTTGAGTAATTTAATTGGTTATCTTCTGTTGTCGTGGAAGTCAGTTTAAAAGAATATTATCCAGAGTACTATCCACATTTGTCAATAAATCTGGAGCCTCCTTCGTACTATTGTATGTACAATTAATCTCTATATTGTTAGATTGTCTAAACAATATAGTTTTGTCACTAAAACTACTTATTAATAAATTAATACTATTTGCTAGCAAACTAGCAATTAATAATTTACATTTCCTGGGAATATACATATAATCCCGAGTCAACTTAAAACCACTAACAAATTTGTTAGTGTCAAAAAATGATAATTTGTCACTATGACAAGAAGTCAAAAAAAATATTAAATTGTTCAGATGATGGATTCTACTATTTTCACTTTCTGACAAAGTGTCAGCATATGGGAATGCACATAACATTATATTCCCTGTGTTTAGTCTTAATAAGGTGTTGATACCATCAGTTATATCCCGCTTGTTTACTCCTGTACTATCACCCATCAAAATCACTATTGGCTGATTTTGTGTGATCTGTTTTTGTGAAATTATTTTAATAATCTGGCCAAATTTTATATTATGATAACAGTAATTAGTTATCCTATAGTTAAGGCAATTGGCAATAAGTGACCCAATACCTGCACCCACTGAGTCTGTAAACACACCAGCGCTGTATGTAACAGCTGGTTGACTCATTGGTTGTTGTACAACTTCTGGCTCAGAAGGTGGAGTGAGGGCACAGCTACAAGAAAGATTATTTGCAAGAGACTCATACCTCTCAGCACTATAAGTTACTAGATCCACAAGTTTACCTGCCTCAATCATATGTTTGTTTATTTCCAATTGGGCAGATTCATATTTTTGGAACATATCATTTAAGAACATTTCTCTTTGTAGAAGTTCTTGTTTAAGCGATTGAACATCTATGTCATATACTGCCCGATGTTGTTTCTTTTTGCCATTTTATTTACTGTTTACAAAATAAAACAGTGATTTCTATTTTTTTGGAAAGGACAAATTTAGTTTAACATTTAAGAACGATTTACTCTTCATAATAGTGGGGTAAGTTATTAGACGTATGTATTTTATATTTATGGCTTATTTACCTTTAACCATTAGGAGATTATTAGTAGCTGTGTTTTATGTTTTCTATTTCTACCTGATATCTTAATTTTTATATTTATATTGGTTACGACCTGACACACTGTTTTGTTTACTCAAATGTCACAATATGACACTACTTACTACTTCTGTCACTTTACTGTCAAATTCAGTTTTTTAAGTCAGCTGCTCCGTTGCATTCAAATTAAACGTTTTCGTAGTATTATAACGTAAAGTCAAACACATAATTCATAGTTGCAAATGCTTCACAATGCACAGTATTTCTAAAAGCATAAATGTAATCTTTTAGCTCTACCGCTTGATATACAGGTGCTCTAAATTTTCCCGTTACCATTTGTTGTGTTATCGCTTTGTACATAGTGTCTTTTTCTACGCATGTAGCATCGCATTCCCATTCGTGAATATGAAACTTATGAAACTCTGCATCGCACCGTAAAAATTGTTTTGCCATAGGTATATCATAACCACATCCGTAATAAACTATCACTCCATTTCGTTCAAGTAATTTTAACATAACATCTTCGTATCTCCCACCTAGACAATTTAAGGCAAGTACAGGTCTAGCTAAAGATGTATCAAAAGCAGTTAGCTCTTCAGCTTCTTCTAAGGTGTATACTGCAGTAGCTCCTAGATTAAGCAAATATGCTTTGACTGCTTCATACCCACAGTGGCTGGCCACAATGTTGAAAGTGTTTATTCCTCTTGCTCTACACAGCTGTATGACAGATTGACCACATGCACTATTAGCAGCATTTTGTATGACTGTTTCTCCATGTTTCATATCTCTAAAATCATTCAACAGCCTGTAAGCCGTACAAGGGGCTATTGTCAGCATAGCAGCTTCAGGGAGAGGAAGCTTGTTTGAGATGTGATGCACTTCTCTTTCTTTATATATACCGTAGTACCGCCAAGAGCCTAACAGTCTGGATGATAGGACAACTCTGTCACCAGGCTTTACTCTACAGACATATTTACCCACTTCTACAACTTCACCAACACCTTCATCTCCTGGTATAGTTGGTAATGATGGCAAACAAGGGCTTTTCCCTGAAAAGAAATAAACAGTTCAAGTTACTGAGATCAAAAGTTATCATATTGATATGTTTAAACTACTTAAGTACAATAAAGTTGTTTATTTCAGTATTGATTTATATTTCAGATTAATGTCATGCACAATAAAATAAAATAAAAAAAAACATTAAATTTATTTATTTCCAACATAAAGTAATATACTCAGATATTAATAACAAATTTTAGCTAAAATCTAAAATATATTTGCAGCCCTTAAATCCTTTGGCAGTAAGAGTTTCACCGATGGCCTCTTGGTAATTATCAAACTTCACCAACTTGTGTAAAGGAGCTTTCAGTTTTTTCTCTAATATCAAATTAATTAAATGGGACATCATTTCCTCCTTAGCTGTGGTGCTAGCCATTTCATTCCATGCAGTCATCCAGAACCCAAAAAATGACAAGTTTTTGAAAATAAATGCAGATGTTGGTATCGTCACTGGTTCTCTTGACATTCCTCCATAAGTTACCATGCTCCCTGAATGTTGTAAGTGCCTTAACATTTCTAATGAACTTTTTCCTCCGACACAGTTTAAGGCAAGCATGGGTTTGTCAATTTGTTTGTCTTTAAATATTTTTGTTGTTTGCAATTCTTCTTCTGTGAGTACATAAGTAGCTCCTAAGGAATATAAATGATTCTTTAATTCATCAATTTGTGGCCTATCCCTTACAATGTTAATATTTTTCACATCCCATGCCTTACAGATTTGTATGACGCTTTGGCCACAAGCACTGTTAGCTCCATTCTGTATGACAACAAGACCATTTTTCTGTACTGGCTGGAAATCTGTTAGCATTCTATAAGCAGTGCAAGGATTAACAGTAAGAGTGGCAGCTTCAACTAATCCTATATCATCTGGCACAACCATCAATGAAGATTGACTGAATGTGCCAATGTTCCTCCAAGTTCCTTGAACAGGCTTTGTAACTATAACTTTGTTTCCCGGCTTAAGTGTTTTCACATGGTTTCCAACTTTTTCTATTACCCCAACACCTTCATTTCCAGGAATACATGGCAATTGCAATTTGACTGGATATTTACCTACAACAAATAATTACAAAATATAGTAAGAAAAGAAAATTGTTTAATTAACTTGATTACTTTTTAATAATAAAATAAAAATACCTTTTTAAGAAATCTTGACTTCCAATAAAAGCAAAGAAAGTAGGTAAAAATTCTTTTTGTTTTATATCAAAAGCTGTAAAGAGATTTTATAATTATTTTAAGTACCTTGAATAGTATTTATATCAGCTGGGTTTATTGGTGCTGCCAACATGCGAACAAGCACATCCTGACTGCCTAGATGAGGAACTTCACTTTCTCTTATCTTCACAACATTTATAGGATCGCCAAATTCACTGTATACCAGTTGTTTTGACATTAAATTTCTTATAGATCCAGAGAACATCGGAGTTTTTGCGTAATGCCTTGCAACCGCAAATACAGAAGTTGGTTTTGGTAAAAAAGCCATTGTATTTGTTTATGTTATTTTAACTGAGTCAATTTTAATCAATATACTAGTAATTTCTTAATTAATTCTGTGAGCAACAGACTAATGACTTGCCGCCGCCGGCTTTTTTTTAGAATGGAAAAATAATTTTATGAACTGTCAAATATATGTCAATCGATAACCTCTTTGGCTCTTTGGTTGGATAAGATTGACGTTTGTGACTTGTGACAGTACACATACCAGCCACAGAACTTCTATTCTATGGTTCATAAGGGTTCTTAAGGGTTCATAACTTGTTTGCATTCTTAAAACATTCATACCTAACTAGTTCATGTTAAAAACACACATCAAAAAGTACGAATGATTTTTTATTTTGATAAAACAATAAAGAACCCGTGCGGAAGCCGCGTAGTGTTCCGCGCGTGCCTCAAAGAGCCATCCGATTATCCACATTTAGCAGCCGAACAACTCAGCGCCGTCGACTATAGGTCATTTTTAAGAATACGACGACTCGGCCTTGTTAAATAGGTACTTATTGTTATTTGCTACACTATGTAATAAAATGTCATTGCAACAATTTAGTGGAAGTCCCGCACACATTTCACGCTGCAGACTTCCCATGGGGTTTCGGGTTAAGCGCAATGAGTCACCGTGGCCTCGGCCCAGAGCAGGAGAAGGAATGGGGGGGTGAGGGTTTAGTGAGCAAGAGTCTGAAACTCTCGCGAAAAAAAATCTCGTATTAATTTTTACAATGTGTTGTGCGTCATTGCTCCACAATAATGGTTTGGTCAGGTTAGGTCTAGAGTTTTGACCATTTTCGTGACGCTCTATCTAGACATACCTGTGTATAATCCTGTGGTATAATCAAAGGTATAAATATAATTGATCAAAGCATTCTGATAGGTAACCTTATCGATAACTTAGTTTATTTTCTCAATACCTTAATACGTGTAACTGACGAACGCAGTTCGCCGGGTCAGCAGCGGATATAGTCGCTTTCTCTATTCCTATATCCCGATTAAATCTTTAAAACAACACAACGGATATACCTAAGGAGTTAGTTGATTTGCCAATTAAGATATCGATTTATAGAATTCAACAAAATAAAGATTTATAGTTAATAAGGTTAATATTAGGTACTACTTTCTGTGATCACATTGGGCAGAGCACTGGTAAGGTAATTTTGAAGTTTTGTTGAGCTATGAACCATATATTTAACCAAGGTTACATAGCAACATAGAGGATATAACATAGTGGTTGTATCGTCACTGCATAGCAACAACGTAGTCATTTATTAAAATTCCTTCTGACTAATAATATAATAATACCTTTTATTATTATTTTACTACCTTTTATTATTAGCTTAATTAGAACAATAGCTTAGCGCAGCTGATACGACAAGACTAGTGACACAGGATTAACGACCTTTCAAATTGATACACCCCTTTGGCCTGTAGTATTGTAGATAGGTACTTCTTATTTTTCATTTCTTAGCAAAACGAAACATGAACGGAATAATTTTTAGTCAATAAGAGTTAGACGTTGTAGGAGAGCCATGCATAGGCACGAATGGGTCGGCTCGACCGGAGTGATACCACGGCCACACAGAAAACCGGTGTCAAACAACCACAGAGTTGGGTTTCTCCAATCCTTTTTAGTAGATATTATTACTTTACTCTATGGCCCAATCCTTCCCTTCCCGTGGGGGGAGATGAAAGATTGGGCTATACAGAGTGGTTCCTAAATCTCCAAATTCCTAATCCCTAAAGGTCGGCAACGCACTCGTAACTCCTCTGTTGTTGCGGGTGTCCATGGGCGGCGCTGATTGCTTACCATCAGGTAATCCGTCTGCTCGTTTGCCGACTTATCACATAAAAAAGACACTTCGTCCAATTCCAAGCAGGGCGAGAGAAGTCATATGATGATTTTTCTCCATCAGAAAAAAAGCAATACAAAATGATATCATGAACTTTCAATTCAGTCAGACCAGAGTGTACCTAGTGTTTTTTAAACGCACGTATCGGTTTTTAACCTCTTTTTATTTGGAAATATTTAGGATGACTAAAACAAAAACTGAATAATGAATACAACACGTCTTGTTCATTTATTATTTTGTAGTCTTAGCGAAAGTCTAAAATATATTTATGTTTTCGAAAACCTTTCGAAGTGAGAGTATTTTCAATAGCTTCTAAATAATTTTCGAATTTAATCAACTTGTGAGTAGGAGCTTTAAGTTTATTTTTTAACATTAGTTGAATAATTTCTGACAACATTCCGTCTCTCGCTGCCGAGTTCCTAGCTCTTTTATTCCAATCAGTCATCCAGAAGCCCCGAAACCTTACGTTTTTGAAAATAAACGCTGAAGTTGGGATAGTCACTGGTTTTTTCGACATTCCTCCATACGTAACCATACAGCCAGAATGTTTTAAATATTTTGCTATTAGCAACGAGCTCTGTCCACCCACACAGTTCAAGCCAAGGGAAGGATTTTCAATTTCTTTATTTTTGAACAAAGAGGTAACTTTTGCTTCTTCCTCCGTTAGGACATGAGTAGCTCCCAAAGATAACAACTGCTTTTTTAAATCATCTATTTCGGGTCGGTTACGCACAATGTTGATATTTTGAACACCCCAAACCTTGCACAATTGTATAATATTTTGGCCGCAAGAACTATTCGCTCCATTTTGAATGACGATTAGGTCGGTTCCACGCACGGGTATAAAATCACTTAGCAATCTGAAGCTTGTGCAAGGGTTTACGGCTAGTGTTGCAGCTTCTGGAACTCGCAAAGCATCTGGAACTGCTGTTAGTGCAAAGGAACTGAATACAGCTAGGGTCCTCCAAGTGCCTTGAGTAGGCATCGTGAGAATAACTTTATTTCCTTGACATAACTTTTTTACTTCGCTTCCAACCTTTTCCACTATTCCCACACCTTCATTGCCAGGTATGCAAGGTAATTTCAGTTTGATAGGGTATTTACCTAAAACAATAGAAGCTGTAGATACCTATATAAGAACATGTTAAGGTACTATCATGTACGAGTAGTGTAATAATATTTCCTAATACGTGTTCAAATCAATTTTGTTGTATGCCATCTCAATACCTACTTACCTTGAATAGTGTTGATATCAGCCGGGTTGACAGGAGCGGCTAGCATTCGTACTAGTACATCTTTCGGACCCAAGTCAGGAAGCTTACATTTCTCAAGTTTTAAAACGGTTGAGGGATCTCCAAATTCAGAAAAAACCAATTGCTTTGTTGTTAGATACCGCACTGATCCTTTCAAAATTAGTTTTAAGCTGAAATTAGTTTGAATTTTTGCAGTCATATTTTATAATAAATAAATACTCTTAATTTACAATGATATTATCATAATCATAATAATTTATTTGTTTTGTTACAGGTACATAGATTTGCATGTATTGTACACTCTTTATGACAATCAGGGTCACAGATTATACTTATTTGGATATGTAGCTATTCTTACTCTTTGATGGCAAACGTGTGAAGTAACATTTTGTCTTGACACGAAGAAAATAGGTTTTATGCAACACAGATTTGGTTTTATGCAATACTATGGTTATAAGATTAATATTTATTTTTCTTTCTGCCGTCATTGGGATAGGACGCCACATTATTCGGGCTGCCTTTCCATTTCCACTACCGAACCTAGCCACAACACTTTATCTTCCATATTGTTCCTCGTACAGTTCCTTCAGCTTTTCTTTGAGACTTCTTTATTATTCCATGCAGCCACACTATTAGTACTTTTGTCACATGTAGGAGAGTCTGGTGCAACGCATCAGAAAAAGGATTCATAATGAAGAAATTATAGAGGTTTCAATGTCAGTAAATTTATTTCAAAACAATTAGTTAAAGCGTAATAAAATTATACATGTTCTAAAATGTTTTTTGTATGAGTTTTGCGCTCACAAATAACCGCTACCTGGGCTAGTGAGTGGAGTGCCGCTGTCACGTTACCTGACAAATTAACGTTAGCAAATGTTTTGTTGATCAATAGATCTTCAGCTAGACGAGCGCCTACAGTATCGCGAATACTCTTAGGTATTATGTAGCTAGATATTTTGTTATTCCTTCATCATTTAGGAACCTGTTCACTCGAATGTCCAGATCTTTACGTGCCATCGGAGCGGTAGAAATTGGGGGAGCTATGGCTTCTGGGGAAGGCATTTGTGGTTTTGGAATTCGGAAGCGACGAGCTCGCGTTAACTGCCAGGAAGCGCTTGTGTTCCGCATTGCTCTGCCAACTCCAACACTTTCATCCACGGCTGCCAGGGCAGGACGAGGGACACTGAAATGTTATGGCGCATTTGGTCTAGTTACCTCAGACAATATTTTTTCATAATTAATGTTTTCAAATGTCGATGGACTCGTATCCGTCCCCTTTTCATGTAATACCTATTTCAACGTCCATAGTCAAAATTATTATCCGACTTAATATAAACTACAATGTTATGAGTGTGTTATGTTATTATAGTACAATAGTTATCTAAAACATCTATCTAAAATTTGACCCCACCAGCCCACTACCACGTTGAGCAGCCCGACCTGCTCCAACAGAAGGCATTCGTTCAAGAGTATGACGTGTGGTCCAATAAATTAAATTTCACTGCTTATAGTTTTTCACTTACTAAGCCATTGTGATGGACGCTCTCAATCGAGCCGGCGCTATCACTGATGGCAAGTCCGCTGAAGAGTATCTTTTCAGTCCTGGAAAAATGTTACTCATTATGTACCTATAGAAATATAAAAAAACTAAATCTATAAAAAACTTAATCAATTTGAGTCTAGGCGTCAGCCTAGAGTTGAAAAAGGAATGGAGGGATTTTAGTCAGTAAGATTCTGTCACTCTCTCTCGCCCCAACTTGGGCGGGAAAAGGCGTTTGATGATTTTCCCCTTTCAATAAAACGGTAAGTCTTTTCTTTTTTTTTCTCCGTCTCTTTGGGGTCATAAGGTGCAGATTACACATATAGGTTTAGAAACATCCATAGATTAATAACTTATTTAAAATATTCCTCTTGTTACAAGTTGGGTAACTAAGTTACTAGGTATACAGTCAATCTCGTTGAGACCGCAATTAAATGAGGTTATGTTTTTGTTTTCGCACTTCGTAACTCACAAGTTTTACTCACGTACTCGCGTTTAGGTCGTTCCATTATAGTACAATTCAAGTAGTTGTTTGTTTATGGTTTCATTTCGATTTTAGTTATTTTCTTTGCGTTCTTTGTGGGTCGCAGTTCTAACCTAAACTAACCTAAGTATCTACTATTCTGGTAGCAACTCAGTCTGAAGGATTATCAAGAGTTTGTAAGGATTTTCGTAAGTGAAAAATTTAGATTTTAAATAAAACGGCTTGTCATTCAGTCCGTTATTTCAATGGATAATTTAGCTAGTTCGTTGCGAAATACAATATGTAACAAACACATAATACTATAAGATTAAAAGGTATTGTATGTAGGATGAATAAGTAAACAATGAAGAAAATACTGACCCGAGGACTTCACATTGTAGATGGAAGATTTATCCCTCCACTTCTGTGAGCATACGGGACAAATCGACCGACGTATCGACCAGCGAGGTAATTCCTCATTTTGGGGTGGACTGACTTTTTGTAATCCAGGCATTACTAGAGGCGCCTGTAAAAAAAACAGATAATAAAGCTCAATAAATCATGTTATTATGATTTATTGAGCTTTATTATTGTTTTGAGAATAAGAACAATTGTTGCGAATAGTTCCTGATTCGGTTTAAATGTCGGGATAAAAAGTAGTTTAAGTAGAGGGGATTTTTCGTACCTCGTGGGTGCGTTCATAGAAATACAGTTTGATATAAGTAGATATTACCTAATTACATCTACACCTACACCTAGAATAATAATCTGTGGATTACACGAAGGAAGAGAATCAATGCCACCATGAGTGGCGTAGTAGTAGCTTGCCCACAGTGCTAACCGTGCAGTCCGTATTAATTTTCGGGCCGATATTTTCCTATTTATTACAGTGTGATTCTTTGCTGCATATTATATAATGCAAACAAATTGGCATTTTAGAAATTATAAAGATTATTTTAAACATCGCTTAGCTATTATTCAGGTATAAATTTGCCAAGGAAACTAACTGGAGCGGGTACGACGGTAGTCTCGAAGGCTAGTATCGAAGGTATATCCATATCGCGTCGGGTAGATACTCTTGACACTCGGGATCGAGAGACACTTCGCTCTGTCATACGCATGCTTAGACCGTGGACGCAGGCTTCACTTGATGGGCTGGTGAACAGGTTTATGATAATTACTGCATCGTCATTGTCTTCATACACCAAGTTCGCTTGGTGTTTGAAGAATTACGCCGGCGGATTGAAAGGCTAAATCGAGTGGTTGCAGCAGAAGCAGCTGAGAGGGTTATCTCAAGTTGGACAAAGTTAAAATCCAAACAATTAAAAATAATGATTCCTTTTTTCGAAACTACATAAGTATTAGGTACCTAATAAGTACTACGGATTATCGTGACACTCGCAATACTAGGGTCACCGTCTGGCAAATGAGACTCATAAAATAAATTGGTCATTTTCTTTCCACTAAAAACAATGACGTATTATATATAGACACGTCATGAACCAACATCGCGGCGCTTAAAAACGGCGAAAATACTAGATAACTACTTCTACGAGTAAAGAAAAGGAAAGAAAATATGACATCGTATAGTGGAATGCCTTTGCTAGAGGGAGATAAATATACATCTTCAGTTATGCCGACGGCACGTGACTATACCTTCATGCGCCGGCCGCCATAAGATGGCGGGCGCCGGCGTCGAAAAAAATAAAATAAAAATATGTTATTTGGTGAACTTACGCATGAAATGACACATTTTTGTCTTTAACTTTTGGAGTATAATTTGTACATCGTCTGAACACACACGACGACATGCTTTCTTTATGTTTCACACACGTTTACACACACGATATAAATTAAAAACAAACGTAGCGTCGCGCGGCAGGTTGGTGCGTAACTAAGCGCGATGTTGTCAATTGCCTTCATTTCATGTTGTCATTTTAGAGCGCGGACAACGTATCTATAGTTTTATACATCATTGACTAAAAAAGGTGATGGTAGAGGTAGTAGATTATGAGACTTAAATTTTGATCTAAGTGTTAAATATATACTAAACCCATATTATATTAAAGACAGAGACAGGAAGATCTGACAAATTAAGATTTAAACTAAGGTCAAACGTAGAATACTTTATGTACAAAAAGTATATAATTAATTTATAAAAGAAACAAAGAATAATAATTTAGTTATAACATTAATAACAGTGACTTATTCGCCAAAGAAAACTGTGAGAAAGTTGTCGTAGTTAATAGACATAATTGAATCGAGAGTGAAAGTTAAGTGGGAAATCTAAAGCTTTTTTACTAATGTTTCTTTGTCGTCTTCAGTTTTTGTTACGCCATTGTAAACGTCACGTGTAGATATTGCACAGATTATATATTGGCTAATTGCTGCCGTCCATTGCTCTATGGAAATTTAAGCATTGTAGCTGTGTGAGGTTAGCGTTTTTATTTTTATTTGAGATTCTGATTTCAAAAGTGTTCGTGAGTTTTTCGCTGTCAAATCTTATATAAGATATTAAAACTTAGTCTTCCTAAATCTCGCAAACGGCTGAACCGACTTGGCTAATTTTTATTTTGAAATATTCGTAGGAATCTAGGGTAGGTTTAAAAGGACAGAAAATATTGATGAATGAGGATAATTAAGGCGGTCCGAGTTCGCCGGATCAGGTAGTTGTTGATAAAAGCGTATTATTATTATAATTATTACTTAGTTTGATTTCTATTTCTATTTAATGACAAATGGAGACAATAATTTAACTGGTGGAAACTCAACCTACAGTTTAGTACGGTTTACTTTAGTTTAGTTTCGCTATACTAATTTTAAATAGGTACATAACTTATATTTAAATATAGGTACATAAAAAAAGAACTAATGTTTTAACCAACTCATCAGAAATGTCATCTTGCGGCAAATCGAGAGTTTTGTCTTGAGCTTCCTCCTCGAATTCTCGATTTTTATGTCGCACCATATCTAGGAGTTTAGTTTCGGCCCCGCCCAGGTCGTCAGACCTGGAAAACAAAATTTTACAATATTATAGGTAGGTAGGTACTGAAGTAAATCAATCAGGAAGGAATAGGAACTTAGAAGGACATCACGATGTAATTAATTGTTGTGTCTTTTTAAGTTTTGTAGGGCTAAGACGAATTGTACAATTAATGTAAAATGCTTTCAGAAGGAACAGGTACTCATGTACCTGAAAATAGGATAATCATTTATTTTAACATAGATCTCGCTAAGTTACACATTTTACTACCTACCGAAGACACTAACATTATAAAACTGCCTACCCCTACCCTACACTCCTACCACTATTATTTGAATCAACCTCTTGTTTACATATGTACCTGTCTAAACTAAAATCAGTCAAGTCATTAGGTCTACAGGAAATAATATAAAGATTGAATAATTTGGCTGACTTTACACAAAAATCTTCGATGTAACTTGTCGAATCGTCATCATCATATCAGCCAAAAGTCAAAGTCAAAAACATTTATTTCAATTAGACCCATACCCCCACTTTTGAACGTCAAACAAAATTTTAAAGATATAAAGTGTCAGTCTGTCGGTCAGTCCTCTTAGTCTTAGTACTCAGCCATACATTAGGCCTATCCTAATGACTTCCAGGCACGCCTGATGGAAGTAAGTTGTCTGCATACAGCGGTTCCTTGTAACCTTTATTTAGTGAAGTACCTACCCAACCAATTTTTGAGTTGTTTTATGTATTTATATTTTACTAGTGACGCGCCCCGATTTCGAACGGGGGCAATGCTGTTCTTAAATTTCTCGGGAATTTATAGATGTCATTATACATATGAAACTTCCTCTTCAATCACTCTGCGACTGCACGCTTGGTGCGGTGGCTGGGCAACTGGCTGCCGTGCAACGTGTCGCGGGTTCGATTCCCGCACGGAACAACACTTTGTGTGATCCACAAATTGTTGTTTCGGGTCTGGGTGTCATGTGTATGTGACATTGTATGTTTGTAAACGCACCCACAACACAGGAGAAAATCCTAAAGTGGGGCAACGTTTAAAAAAAAATAAAAAAAAAAAAAAAAAAAAATAAAAAAAAAAAAAAATCACTCTATCTATTAAAAAAACCCATCAAAATCTGTTGCTTAGTTTTAAAGGTTTAAGCGTGCATAGGGATATAGGGACAGAGAAAGCGACTTTGTTTTATACTATGTAGTGATATCAACTACATATTGAGGGTGGTTGGAGTTGGAAGTCTTGTCTTGTTCGTACTTACTGGACGTAGTTGATGCAACTGTCGTGGGGATCGCTTTGGGCCGACATCAAGGTGGTGATTTCGGGCGAGATCTTCCCCTCGCCACCATATATCGCGTTGTCCAGTCGAGCTGCACGCGTCCTCATCAGTAGCGACGCGTATGGAGTCGCTTCATTGCTCATGAAGGAAATGCGACATGCATCGTCGTTCTCAGACCTTTATGTAAGAGATAAATATTGATATGTAGATGTCTATTATAACTATTACAAGTTTATAATTACAAGGTGATATTGCAGCATTAAAAGTGAGCAGTCAGTAGGTTATCTGATGAAATAGATTGTCCAGTTTTTTATATTTTAGTAAAAAAGGTAGGAAGAAGCGTGTAATAAGAAATACTTCTTAACAATGTTTGCCTTTTTGGTCTGAAATGGCGCAATTTACATACAACAACTTCACAATTTATTTTAAGTATTAAATTTTAACTTAAAATGCTATGCATAATTTGACAAATCGCTGTAAAAACCTTTTAGTAGTCAATTAATTAGATAAAACTCGTTTATCGATAAACACACAACAAATAAAAATATGGTATTAAGCAGGAAAAACCGCTAAAATTCGAAAAAATAGAATGTACACAAAACAAATGACAGAAGACGCAGTTTACGCGCAAAACGCGAGTCGAGTTTTGATTGAGATGAACGAATTGGAAGCTGGCTTGACTTTTTCACTGGTTACGTGAGTCACGACGTGAGTCAGACACTGGCTATAAACATAAAGGAGGTTGCTTCAACGGCTGACTAGCAGTAGCGGTTGAATAAATGCAACTTGACTCCTAACAGACCTTGAGACCTATGTCGAGACGTAATGAGCTCAGTTGCAACTTAGTACACACACATGAACATATATTTTGAATCTAAATTGTGCTCCCCGTTTATGTTTATGACTATGGTTCTCTCGCAGGATTACTAGATTGACATTGAAATAAGGAAATGAAGAAAATTCCACCTATTAGTTTCACGAAGAACTATGTAAATCACACTGATTTAGTCGTCGTTAGTTATTAAGCTATAGTTCCACTGCATGGTTGAGAATTAATCGACCTTTGATTCTGAAATAAAAATCGTTCATGAATAGAACTTTTTGAAATTAGTTTAACTCTTTTCTTTGGCCCTATTATCCTGTAGATAAGTAAGTACTTTGTTTGTGTCTAATTTTACTAACCTTTCCGTTTAAAAATAGCGGTCTGTTGTTATGTACAATTACCTACTTACGGTACATAAAAAGAAAACAATATGCAAATTACTTGTTGACACTTCTAACAAGAACGTTCTAATTCAGGTGAACAACAGATTTCGGTGTTTCAATGAGAAAGTGCTGAAGAGATGACGTGAAAAACAGACGAAAGAGTAGGATCATTGAAATATTGAAAGGAGACTAACTGTTGTGGCACTAAGCGGAACACGCGGTGTGACGAGTAAAGTTTTGAATAGCGAGCTTTCCAGTCGTCATTTTGCTTCCAAACGGATTGAGTTTGCCTGCAAACAAATGACCACATTAAAATTACACATAACTTGTATTCAATCTATCTTTTAATTTCTTTCTTTTGAGGAATTATTCGAACGTGCAAAAGTGCAAATTCGAATGTGCATCTTTATTGTTAAAACGATTGAACGGTTTCGTATTAAAATTGGCATGGGAAGTGGGAGATCCATGGTTCGGCACGGATGGGCCGGCTCGACTGGAGTGATACCACGGCCTCACAGAAAACGAGAGTGTGAGTGACGTTACCGGAGGCCTAATTCTCTCTCCCCTCTCCACAATCCTCAAATTCCATATCCTTAAAATTACATTGTTAAATCCACAAGATATGGTACTACTAGTGTCCATGAGTAGCGCCGATTGCTTGCCATCAGGTAAACTGTCTACTCTTTTGACGACCCTTGACATAAAAAATTATACCCTGGATTAACCAGGCTATTTTTCTTATCGCCAGGGGTTAAGCTGCTGGTAGAAGTTGGTTAGTGGAGTCAGAAAATTAAACATGATTCCTAGAAATATGTTATAGACTTCTAGAACCCTGGACATTATTCACTGATGCCTTATATTTCACAATAGTTAGTCGAATCCGAACAAATAATTGCAGCTATTGTAGGTATGTATGTGTTCTTTTATTAGGTCCTTGAAATGATTGTTTAAGAATTTTTCCCTGTTAACATTAAATTTGAGAATGGGTCGTAACTGAAGCCCTACAAATAATAAACTTAAAAACAGCGTGGTTACTTAAATTTCTTTGTGCATTTTTATTTTATGTTGATGTTTTCGTCTCAATGTTTTATGAATGATCAATACAATGCGAATACACAAGTAATGAGTCGAAGGCCAAGCATCCGCGGTGATGCCAAATGATCGCTCAATAACAATACAAGTGACGAATCATTTAATATTCTTTATTGTTTGTGTACTTTGTAGTATAGTTGTCAAGAGATACATTTGCCTAGGTGCTTCAAAAAAAGGTAGTTAAAGTTTTTCATAATATAACACACAAAACTGCAAATGAAGATGGTCTTAAAATTGCCTTTGTTGTCGTATGGCACAACTATAACGTTACTAGCTTTTGCCCGCGACTCCGTTCGCGTAGAATAGTGACTTCCTGCAGATTTTTGGTATAAAAACTATCCTTTCTCGAGTTCCAAACTATGTCTGTACCTACCAAATTTCACAGAACAGAATTTCAAGACAGACAGACGAGTTATTTTCGCATTAATAATATTAGTTTTGATTTGGATCTCATCGATTTAGTGAGGATAACGGAGTCCCACTCCACCTCTCAATTCCTAAATCTCAGAAGCCCTATTGCCCAAAAGGCCGGTAAAGCACTCGTAACTCCTCTGGTTTTGCGGGCTTCCACGGGCGGCGTCAATTGCTTACCATCAGGTGCCCGTTTGTTCGTTTGCCGACCATTCACATATAAAATATGGAGAAATCAAATAGTTACTAGTACCTATATTAAATTAAATAGACTTTGACTAACACTACGTTGTACGACCATAACTTTCGATTTCGAATTCAATCCCCGTGTCTGGGACTTTATTACAATGGGATAACCTAACTGGTTTAAAGCGAGAGTTATGAATTTACGGTTCTTTAATAAAAATACTATAAGTTTAATTACTTAGTATGATTCCAAAGATCACGTTTGCGTATTTTTTTATGCTAAACTTTATTAATAGATTAGAAATGTTGCTCTAGATGGATTTCTAAGCAAGTATACTTATAAATATGTATCTAGACATATCAATTCATTGACAAACTTTAAAAGCTTAGATAACATGTATAGTTATTGATAAATTACACACCTATTAAATATTTACTGTATTTTTATAATATAATACTTACTGCATTTTTTAAATTATTTTCCTGATAATATATTGTTTACAATAACGCCACATAACTTCAATTTTGACGTAACGTTTTGATGTTTGTGATGACTCTATAGAGGTTTTATACATTATATTAAAATAGTTGTTTTTTTAATCGGTGGCAAATGCCTGCACGTTTGGATGGATCAAAGTGATAATGAGAGATTATCGTCGCTCATGGACACCCGCAACACCAGAGGAGTCACAAGTGCGTTGCAGACTATTTAAGAAGGAGTACGCTTTTTTCTTTATGGTTAAAAAGTTGTGTTTCAAGTTTTTTATGAATTATTGGGGGACAGGAAAGTATAGAAGCACGTTTTCACTTTCATTGACGCTTTCGTCTACTTACCTAAGTCAGTAAGTATATCAATCTTCGAGAATTAGGTATTTAAATTTATTCAAGTTTAGTTAGTTTTAACTTTAAGATAGTATTTATAATAAAGTGGCGTATTTTATTATTGACCTAGATAAACCTCCGAGTTTCTCTGAAATACAAAAACAGTTCTGTACTTACGAATGTAATATTATAGCTCGCAAAGTAAGTTTTAGTAAAACTTGTGGATGACTCTACACCAACCACAGTGGTTCTTATTCAGAAACATGATTACCTTGAGATCTATTGACCTGTAACGAGCGTGCAAGCCATGAGGCACTCATTAGTTTAGATATTTATCAAACTTACACAAATAAAACATAGCGTAGCTTAACAAAGAATTTGAATTAGTCCGATGACAAGATTCAGAGTGAACAAGTCCCGTTACAATTGTCTGAAGCCGAATTAGTGGTTAATGCTATACATATGTATGTACCGGTACAGCAATCATATGTCACCGGAACATTTTGTTGACACACAGGATGTTTCTGTTTATTGTCTAGTGTCAGTATTGTATGAAATGTAACGATGCAATTGGAAAAGTAATTTGATAGAAGGTGTTGTGACGGTGTCAGGCGGCGGCGGGGCGCCGAGCCTGTCTCCTGACGCAGAGTCGCGGTGCTGCGTCCGTCTCGGCTTTAGTCGCTCCGACCGCGAACACCCGCGCACACGTTGCGCCGCCGCGCACCGCCTCCACGCAAACAGGCCCGCCGATAACGCGCTCTATTTGAACGCAACGATCACTCTAACTGCACTATTGAACCCATTCATACTTACTACGGACCATTATCGAATTACGTTTTACGACGTCCCAAATTGTAAGATTCCTTGTCGTTTCGCTCCCAAACCGGCTCTGTGACCATATGATCCGCATTACAGTGGAACTGTTGCCCGATTTCCGATATCGGTGGGCAGTCACGATGTGGATCTTAAACTGAAGTGCACACTGGATTTTTGTGTTGATGGACGCATTTGGAAACTAAATGACAGAAGATTGTAAAGTGTCTGTGATTGTTTAGTGACATTATAGTGTTGGAGATGTGAATGTTGACGTTGATTTTAATGTATTAGTGTTGTTATTTAATTAGTGCAATGGCTGGTGCTAGTGAGGAGGGTGGTGGTGTGGAGGAGACCACTCCTAGTTCTGCGGTCGAAGGGCGCGGTAAGCGCGGCCTGAGTGGGTCCATGTCGTTGCGCACGCGCAAGCTGGGCCGGCGCCTCTCGCGCAGCATGTCCATCGTAGCGTTGAAGCTACCGGAGAAGGCGCAGAGTATCACACGCTCCTCGTCGAAGCTGATGAGATCTGGAAACCGCGACAAAAAGAACAGATCATTTGAGCTCTCTATAATATTAC